GGCCGGGGCACGGCCGCCCCCCGTCTCGGCGGACACCGGCGAGCCAGGCCCGGCGGGTGCCGCCCCCGCGCGCCATTGGGCCGCTCCAACGGGCCCGGCTCTCGATTGGATGCGCCGCCCGTCCATCCGCCCCCGCCTGCCCCGCTGAGGGAATCCGCGGGGCCCCTACCTGTGCGAGCTCGGGTCCCAACCGCCGCCGCGACGAGCCCGGCCCGAGTCGGTGCGTGAGCCTCGCCGGGCAGGAAGGGGCCGAGCAGCCCCCGGCGGCGGCGGGGAGAGGCGGCGGGAGCCAGGCAGGCCCCTCCGGCACGCAGGGAGGCCGCCGCCGCCGCCCCGTCTCCTCGCCTGGCAGGTTTGACGTTTGCTGTTGTTGCTGGAAGTGACGTCACCGCGGAGGGACGCGCGGGAAGCGGAAGCGGCCGGCGGGTCTGGCGGCGGCAGATTCAGTCTGCGCCCGCCGCCGGTCGGCGGGTTCCTGAGGGGAGGCAGCGGGTGCGCCCGCCGCCCCGGGGCGGCCGGGAAGAGGGTTCCCGCAGCAGCGGCTGGCGCGGGTGAGCGTCAGGACGTCTCTGGGGGTGGGGGTTTGGGCCCCCGCGGGGGCCGGCGGCGCGGCACAGCTCCGAGCCCAGGGCCACCCGTCTCCTCAGGGACGGCGAGCCCCGGGGCGGAGCGGGGGACGCCCGGTCTCCGGCTGGTCTAGGGGCGAGGAAGGGCCGGTGGCGAGCCGGCCCCGGCCCCGCTCTTGCGAGTTCGCCTCAGGGCGCCGGCGCGGCCCCGGGACGGCAGCCAGGGCTGCTTTTTTTTTTTTTTTTTTTCCGCCGGTGTTTCGGTGGCGCCCAGGGCAACCGGCCCGCCACGCGCAGTTCCTTGCGCGGGTCGCTCGTTTGCAAGTATCCTGTGTGCTGGAAGCGTGTCTGTTGCAGCTGGCGCGATAGCCAAGCGCAGTGTTTGTCCTTGACGTTTTTGCATCTCTGCGTAACGGTGTGATCCCCTCCTCCCCGCCGCGTGTAAAGAAGAGTCTAAATACAAGTAGTAGAAATTAGAAGACTTTTTGTTAGGCGTTTTAAAGACAGTGTTTACAGTGTTAAGATACTTGGTAACTTGTATGGGTTTTTTTGGTGGTGAGGTGTTCGTTTGGGTTTTTTTTTTTTTGACATTCATTAGTTCTTTGAATACCATATGCAATTTTGAGAGTAGTTCTTTAAACCACTTGCAGTTCTGTGTTATCGTCTCTTAATGCTTTGTTATACCCATTTTTATTCTGGATAGCCAATGTTCTGTAAGTGTTTCGTCATGAATTCCTACAGGCAAAAGCTGTGTGCCGCTTTTTTATAGTGTTCACCTTCCCAAGATGTTAAAGTAGTTTCTACCAACTTAACTCTGTTATTTTTATGATCTCTTGAGCTAGTCGGTTTGTAGTGACAGTAGTTGCCAGTTTTTACATCCAGAGGTCTGGTGTAGAAAGGATTGATGATACTTTTGGGAAACTGCCTATATGATTAAATGAATTCCTGTGAGAGTGTCTTCTATAAGTATTTGCACTGCAGATTAGAGCTTCAGTTTTATGTCAGACTATTTGAGACTTGTCTTGAGATCTGGTTAAATTGGCAAAACCATAGGGTGGATCACTTTGTAAGGCCATGCAGGAAGAATAGCTGCCTCAGTTTCCAAATACGTGAGGTTAAATTGTCTCTAGCCTTTAACAATGAGTGTTGTGTAGTTATGTTTGGCATGACTAATAACCCAGAACCTAATGATTAAAGAGGAAGAACCTTGTAATTATAGGAAGAAAATACTTTAACAAGGGCAGAACACATGTGAAGATCTTCATCTCCTTGAAGATAGCTGATTTAAACACCATAGAGGCACAAGAGAAAAGAAAGAAAAAAAAACCAACAAAAACCAAACCCAGATAATTGTGAGTGCAAGCTTTAACTGTATTTTCTTTTTTTTTTTTTACTATAAGTGAACTTTGTGGTCAAGAAGTTCCCTTCAAGAAGACTCATTGCTTTAATGAGTAGGACCAAATAACAAAGCTGAAAACTGGAGTATCCATCAGAGTTAATTTCTGACAATGCTAGACATAATCTCTTTGGAGCGTTTGGTCTTTTAGTCTGAATCTCGTGTCAGCAAGAGAAATGATATAGAAGTCTGTATTTTGAGGATATCTCTTCATGTATAGGCTGTCAGGCAATGCCTTTTCACTGCTTGGATTGGTAGGCTTCCAAGTATTTGTTTTCTGGTAAGAAGACAGTGGCAGGCAATTATCTCCCAAGTTCTAGTGGAAAATTGAACAGTAAGTTTCTGTTCTAAGGCTTTATAGCTGAAATCATTACTTTTTCTGAGGATTTTGGGGGAAGTACTGTAGAGGATTAAGCCAGTTACAAGCAGATCTCAAGGATGTGAGGAAGGAGAACTGTTTTTGTGAGGTGTCAACTTTCTGTACTTCTGTATTTTAACTAACTCTTTTTTTTCTTTTTTTGCCTTGGTTTTTCTCTAAACCGTTCAAAACCCACTGAGTTTGGCTGTTTGCTAACAGACTTTCTAAAGTTTTATCGGTCTGTCCAGATTGCTAAGATGCAAGCCATTTGTTTTCAATTGTGACTTAAGAGCTTGGCTATCATCTGGTCTGTACTTTTAAAGTCTTGTGTTGGAGAAAAGCTAATATTGGTTGTTTATAAACAAACAGTTGCAAGATACAGCAAATAGTACTTATAAGCTGTGTCTAAATATAAAGGTATTTTTAAGCAATGGAGTGAGGGACAAGGTTTTTTAAGATAATTGCTAGTACTGATATTTGAAGGTACTGTTTCAGGTGTTTCATTTTACTGTCTGCCAGCCAGGTGGAGTTGCCAGTATTCTTCCTCCATTTGAGAATTTACTAATCAGTTCTGTGTGGTAAAACGTATTAAAAGTGTGAGCTTCCTGTACTTACTTATCCCCTTGATAGATCTAAAAACTGGTTTGGATGATGGTTATTTCATGCTTTGCTGATTCTCTTTTGTTTTGTTCCCCCTCCCCTTTATTTTTTTTTTTTCTTTCTTTCTTGCAATCTTCAGTTTCCTTTTCCTTGCAGGATAGTTCTGCAGGGAGAAAGTCACCTTTTTGTAGTTTATACTGAGTCCCTAGATGAGTCTCTTGCTTCTGTGAAGCAAAGCCCTCAATAAATAAAAAGCAGGTTCTCAACTTATGTGTTACAATGTAGAAGTTAAATGGAGACCTTTTGGTTATCATCCCAATAAACTTGCACCTATTTTGAAATATTTAGGCAGTCTGTTATCCCTTCCCCCTAAACAATTTTAAGTGTATTTAATGGATCATCTAAATAGAGAAGTATTGTCTGTGATGAGTTGCTAGTCCTGTCTTCTGACGCTTACACATCCACACATTGCTCTGTTGGCCAGTGAGATTGGGGCCAGGTGAAGAAAAGAATAAGCAGCAGTTTTCACTGCTTATGGAGTCTCTGCTCCTTTGAAACCGTGAAGAAACTTGTTTTCACTCAGTTTTAGTGGATTTAGCCAGACCTAAATTCTTAATATGCTTTCAGATATCTTTATCTTTAAAGATCTTTAGTAGTTGATCAGATTGAGGATTACTACTTGATCCTATTTAGAATGCACGAAGATGATGGCTGATATTAATTGGCATCGAGCCGTAGCTCTGCGCTGTGTTGTAACACTTTGGAAATAGTAGTGTCTAGAAAACAGGAGCAGAAACCTTTGAATTTCAGTGATAATTCTATTGCATTTTGTAACTTTTATGTACATAATTTTTTTTTTTTAAGGAGAATGTACTATATTACATTTATTTCATAATCTGAAAGAAGAATAGCGTTTGGAATAATGGCAACAGGAGACCTAAAAGGAAGTTTAAGAAAAATAGAACAAGGACTTCGCTTGTTAAATTATCCAAGAGATGTGGATTATACAGTGTAAGTGGCAGTGTGACTAAATTTATACTAATACTTGATGACAGCAGGATATGTAAACAAGATATGTATAAATATTAGCATTGCACCCAGTGATGAGTAAGCAAAGTATATGTCTGTGGGAAGTTGGGGTTTGATACATGTGAACTGGAAGATAAAAGGATGCAGTTTTGCTATTCTGAGCAATCCTTAGAATAATCCTGAAGTGTATCACTATCTTGTTCTTCTTTCTTCTGCTGTTTTTCTCTTTTCTTTGATTAATCTCTCACCTTTATAATTTCTTTGTAAGTGCTAGCAAAACTTTCTTCGGAAATTTCATCCTGTAAAGATTAAAAAACCCAAGATGTTGAATGTTGAGATGGGAATGCTGGTGGGCTTTAGACCTGACAATGTTAAAATTATATGAGGATCACAAAAGTTGTTTTGAGCATTTTACAGATAACAGTCAAGACTGCTGAATGAGATATGCCTGGAAAAAAACCCATAAAATGAAGGAGATACTTGGATATAATATGCTGGCTATATTAAAACACCTTTCAAGTTAGATGTTTGAATTCATGCGATGAAAGGCTTTTGTTATTTTCTGCTGTGTAAAATACTTTTGTTTCTCAATAGGTTAGTAAAGGGTGATCCAGCTGCATTTTTACCTATCATCAGCTATTCTTTTACATCTTTTTCAACTTACATAGCAGAACTTTTGGTAAAGTGCAACGTGGAACTCACAGCAAAGAGTGACTTGCGTTTTATTGAAGCTATTTATAAGGTATGTGTCTTCATGTTCTTTGCAGAAGAGACACAGTTTTGAGTATGGCCTCATAAAAATTAAGCATTTAGTTTGAGTTTTACTAGAAAGTGCAAAAAATTTTTGGCAATGAACATGAATTGTAATTCTGTTAGGATTTAAGATGAGTAGTAAGCAACTGTGTGGCAAGTCTTTAGATTTTAATGAAAATAAGGATGGATGTTTTTAGCCAAATCTCAATTTTGAAACAATTGCAGAAACAGTAATATTATTGTTTTACGTTAGTTTTGAAGAATACCAAAATATTTATTACACAGTAAGTTTTATAGAGTGACCTTAAGAAATCATAGCAGGAAAAAAAAAAATCACAGCAAACTTTAATAATTGTAATGAAAGGACAATTAAGAAATACAGCTATTTTAAAACACTATGCCATATCAATATATAAAGTCCAATACTTAACAGTTGATGAATTGGAATAAAATTCTTAACTGAATGAAAATAATCTTGAGCTATCCTTAAAAATATCCATAAGCACATTTTTATAAAAGGTAGGTTGATGTATTAATGAATACTAGCTTATTCAGACTAGTTTTCCATCTGAGGAGGACAGAGGCTCATTTACAAAGAGGGTCTTTGGGAGCCTTACTTAGCCTTCTGATGCGTTTGCTGAGATTAATACAACTGTTTATTGTGTGTTCACTTTGGAAAGTTTTTGTTTAACTTTTTAAATATTAATGTCTACAGTAATTTATTTCATGAATCTTAAGACTGTGAGTTAAACTTTACAAGAGTGATGTGAATGAAATATTTCTAGAAGAGGTATGTTTAAAGTCTAGTTAGAAGAACCAGCTGAGAGTATATAAATAACCAAATGAGAAAAGGTTTAACTGCTGAAGTGCAGAATGAAAGAAAAGATTGTAGAAAAATAACCTGAGCATGCCATTTCTGCAGCAAATTGCCTGGTGATTTTTGAAAGTGAAATAAACTCTTACTTTGTTGCAGCTTCTTCGAGATCAATTTCAATATAAACCAATTTTAACAAAGCAGCAGTTTCTTCAGTTTGGCTTTGCAGAAAGAAAAATGCAGATTGTTTGTGACATTATCAACTGTGTGGTGAAAAAACATAAAGAATTAAGTAACTCAAATAAGGTACTGATTAAATGGTAACTTTATTATAAGATAAGTTTCTTTTGACGTGCTTGCTGCAGGTAGAAGCTGAAGACCTGTTTATTTGAAAATGCAACTTTGCTGATGGTCAAAATAAGGGGAAGTTAGTATGAAGTTCCACTGTAAGATGCTTGAGTACTATCAGGTACACAAAAGACACGAAGCTGCAAATGCTTCATAGTATAAATAAAAAAATAGAATGAAGATAAATCTGGTATTTGGTATCTTTACATAAGTGATATATTTTCTTTTACACTTCTTGACATAGTGAATGTTTATTTAACTCAATAGACTTTGCAGGTAGATTTAAAAACAAAGCAAACTCCTCTGATATGTTGAAGTTCTGGTAACATTTAATTTAAGCATGACACTTGTTTGTATTTCGGTGGTATACATCTCAAATCTGGTTGTTTTCGTTAATCATTTGTTTTACGTTGTTAAGGCATTTTTTTATTGGTTTATTCTGTGTATCAATCTGTGCTTTAATAGAAGGAATTTTCAGTCTTCGTATTTTACAGGATTTTGTTTCGTTTGAGTTTATAACAAGTCTTCAGGACTTCTGTATACTTCATTTGTCACTTTTGGGGGCATAACTACGTATTTTTTGTATTTGTCTTTCAACTCTGGTGCAACTTGTCTTTTCTATTTTTGACCAGCTTTGATGCAGCCTTGCGTAGGCATTAATGAGTTTATGAATACGGCATTAACTTCCAGATCTGTTTTTTCTGTAAATTAGGGTCATACTTAATTTTTTTTTTTGACATTATTGTACTGCAGAGGTTTAAATGAGTTTGTCCCATGCAATATTCCTGCCTGTTAATGATGGCAGGAATGGGGTGTGTCATCCTGTCCCCTTGTTGTCCATCTCTGCCCCCCCCCCCCCCATATTCCTGTGCTAGAAGCATAATTATTTTTTTTTCTTCACTTGGAAGGTTAAATCCCAAACGAGGAAAAAACTCAGATCTTTTAAATATGAAGTATGGTCAAATTGTGATAATGTCCTTGCTGATCCTAGTGGCAGTGATCTGAATTCCAAACAGGTATGAAAATAGTTTTTATGTTTTGTGTCTAAAGGTTAATCTCATTTGTAGCAAGTCAGGCTCTTTCTGGAATATGTGCTTTCATTTAGGTTTTAATGCTTGATCAGACTAGGTTTGTGTTTTGTTTTGTGGGTTTTTTTTCTCCCAACATGTGGTTGATGGAAATAATAGCTGAAATACAAAGGATATTGCTTCTCTCTTTTCTGAGTAGTTGACCTCAAAGTCTTGGTGGTAATGATCTAGTACTGTCATTTGCTGTTTGAATTGTATCAAACAGAGGGCAGCAATGAAAATGAAGATACAATTGGAAAAAGCATATACATCCTGTTTGGAGATTGAAGTGTGTTTGGCCTAACATTGCAGTGCTTTCAAAAAGCTTTTTGTTATTTTGTCTGAATGTGTTCAACAAAGATTTCTTAACATAGTATTCCTCTTGGCTTTGGTTTTACAAGAGTAACACTTGATTTTATGCGCTATGCTACTCTTGACCTGTGGAGGACACAGCTTTCCTAGTATTTTTCTGCTAAAAGGTTGCGAACTAAAATTGCACAAAACTTTTAGGACTGTGACTGCCCATTAAATGTTGGTGACTTCTATTTAGAAGGAAAATGCTGCTTGTAGCAGTGAGGAAAACTTCACAAAGAAAATATTTGGAATGATTTATCTGGCGCTTCTGGTTGTTGAATAGTAGAACTGAATGGGGATATATGTGAGTGTATTCTCTAGAAGAGAGTTTTAGCTTCACTAAAATGTCTAGGAATCTGGAAGTGTTTAAGGTGCTGCACAAAACTAGTAATTGTGGGTTCTTAATCATTAGGTAATTTATTTTGTTTTGTGGCAGGTAGTGACCATAGAACTTGATCCATGTGGAAAGAAAGGCAAAATTTGTCTCATACTTTGTTCTCTCTAAGGGAAGCATTCAAAGGAAATTAAATGTGTAGCTAGTAGGGCTATTTTGCTGACAGTTGTCAAGGAAAAGAGAGAGTTCTAATCTTCCTAGTTAAACTTTTGTTTCTCAATGTTTGAGTGGCGGTTTTGATGTCTATACATATGTTAAAACATGCAGTGAGATTCATACGTCCTGAACCACACTTAGAAATCTAACAATGCTTACAATAAGAGAGGACATTAATACCTTCATTACTGTTTATGGAAGGGAACCAAGGTACACAGTACATATGGTAAAGTGTGTGCATATTTGTTTTACAGCTCTTTCTTGTCTATGTGATTTTTTTAAATTAAGCTGCCTGCTGTTGCTTTCTGTGTTTTGCAGCTAGTTGGGATAAGATTGTCAGATATAAATACTAAAATGATAGGTCTTTTGTGTCAGTTACTTGGCTGATGAATTGAAATGTTCTTGTAATGAATAACACCAGTGATTTATTTATTTATTTTTTTAACATACTCAAAAGAAGCCTCAAGTAGAACGGCACTCAGGAAATGAAGTTAATGGTGACCTTCATCCACTACCCCTTCCAGCACAGGGAGGTAATGAAGAGGAATTGTACCTAGACCGTGATGTTGTGGAAGTTAAATGTGAACAAGTAAGAACTTTTATTTTAAGATGCTGTCTGTATTCTTAACTTTTCTTACAGGGCTTTTCTAAAGGGATAAAGGTTTTAAGAAGATAGCTGCTCCTTAAGTATAACTAATTGCTATGTAATAAATATATTGAAAAAGTTGAAAAAAAGTCAGTTAAATTGTACTGTCCTTTCAAGAACCAGTTCTGTCAACAGTTTCTTTTAAAAGCTGAGTTCCATGAACAGGCATATTATGGCAATTCTGAACGAAAAATAATTTTCTAATGTAGCAGAATGTGGTTACTGAACTTGAGGAAGATTACACTTAATTTCATTGATCAAATGATAAATTATATCTGTTTTGAAATTAGGGGAAATGTGTTCTTAACCATATTTTCAGGTCATAGAAGATAATTCTCAGATTGAGTTCCTAAAGAGTCAGCTTGCTGATTGCCAGGAAAAGCTTCATAAGCTAGATTGGATGGAAGATAAACTATGTGTTCTAGAAGAGAAACTGAAAGGAAAGGTGATCATAGATGAGAAGGACTGGAATAACTTGTTGAGTCGAGTTTTGCTTCTTGAAACAGAACTTTTGTTGCAATCCAAAAAGGTATGTCAACTTCTGTTTTTCTTCTCTAAGAAAAGTTACCCAGACACAATGTTGTCAGCCTGTTTCTGCTCTTCCTGCCTCCTGATGTATAATTTTTCACTATTTTTAAAGGCGTGATCTGATGGAATTGCTGTTTATGGAGTTGGTGGTATTTTTCTCTTAACTGTTAAGTTCTGTTTTTTTTCTCATGCTCTGTGAAGCAAAGCTCTCAATTGGAAATTGTTTTCTTGCAGGTACAGCAGGTATAGCTAAGTCTATTTTCATTCGTAATGACTGTGTATGTTTTTATTTCCTAGCAAACTTGTAGAAGGAAGCTTCTGAAGACTCTTAATTATGCTGTCTTTGAAAGCGTAATGTTTCTCTAATTGAAAGTTTCATGATGTTAGTGACACATTTAAGGGTTTCCTTATTCTGGTCTGCATTATTCTGGATTTCTTATACTGGTCTGTAAATGTTGTTGCTGTTGATACAGTTGAATATCTATTTTTTTAATTCTCCAAACTCTAATCAGATACGGATATTCCCCTTGGAAGACTAAGTCTTCATTCTGTATAACTATCGTTGACACAAATAGATGGCTAGCTCAATGGAAAATACAAGGTGAATGGAAAAGTTGATTCTTATTTTAGTCCTATTCTTAGTTTGTGGCTCTTTGAAATTTCTAGCCTAATCAATGGTCTTTCTCCTTTTTGCAATCCCCTCCCCTCCCTATTTCTTGTCCATGACATTAGTTGCATTTTTAAATGCGTGAAAGTGCTACAGTTGTAATGTGGCCACATTTGTCATATTTGTCAGAGTAAATCAAGTATTTTGTTGCATTAAGACTTTATGCTATTTTTCATGCTGTTGAAAGGTCCTTGTATACACATTGTATCATTTCATGTATGTACACATGTAAATATTTTGAGATGCAGTGAACCATAGCATCAGTTCTGTGATCACATGCTTAATTACAAAGTGTATTTGCATGTGTATCTTGTGTATCCTTCAAATGCTGTCAGATGCTTTCCAGAAGTTGAAAACTCTTGTGGAAAATAGTTGATCAGTGTTGCATTTTTCTCTGTAGTTGTGAAAATGTTGAATTTACTTGTAACGAGGAGCTTTGTGTGTGTGGCTGGCCTTGTGTTGTGGTTTGACCCCAGCCAGCAACTAAGCACTGCATAGCCGCTTGCTCACTCCCCCACCCTCGCCTCTGGTGGGATGGGGGAGAGAATCAGAAGAGTAAAAGTGAGAAAACTCCTGAGTTGAGATAAGGACAGTTTAATAGGTAAAGCAAAAGCTGCACATGCAAGCAAAGCAAAACAAGGAATTCTTTTACCAATTCCCATCGGCAGGCAGGTGTTCAGCCATCTCCAGGAAAGCAGGGCTCCATCACATGTAACGGTGACTTGGGAAGACAAATGCCGTCACTTCAGTCGTCCTCCCCCTTCCTCATTCTTCCCCCAGCTTTATATGCTGAGCATGACATCATACGATCTGGAACATCCCTTGGGTCAGTTGGGGTCAGCTGTCCCAGCTGTGTCACCTCCCAACTTCTTGTGCACCGCCAGCCTACTTGGTGATGGGGTGGGGTGAGAAGCAGAAGAGGCCTTGGCTCTATGTAAGCTCTGCTCAGCTGTAATGAAAACATCTCAGTATTATCAACACTGTTTTCAGCACAAATCCAAAACATAGCCCCATACCAGCTACTATAAAGAAAATTAACGTTACCCAGCCAAAACCAGCACACCCTGCAAATTTGAAAATGTCACTGATACTTGTATACAAGATGTTTTTTTCTGTGTGCCTTGAAAGTGTGCTAGTTATGCAAAGTCTTGAAATGGAGAAGCGTTCACACTGATCACGAGGTCATTTATAAAGGCTGTAGCTCAAATGATAAGGATTGACATTCTTAATCACTTTTTTTAAACAGTTTCAGGTCAGTAATGGCTTGAGTGATTTACCATTTGAAATCAATTTCTTATGGATATTGTAATTTAATTATCAATGGACATGTATCCAAATAACACCACCAATGATACTGTTTTCTTCTGCTAGCAGTCTCAAGAAGCCTTCAGCTGAACAGCCATAGACAATTTTCTTCCTCTTTCAAGTATATTCTTTTCAAGAGATCGTTGTTGCATTTGTGACGGTAGCAGCATGGGAAAGCTTGTGTTTCAGACTAGGCTGCTGCTTTTATTTCTGTAAATTTGGTTTATTATTATTTCAGTAACATGTTTATTGCTGTTCTTCAAAGGTTTGGAATAGTGTTTGGAAAATACTTAACATCAATATCACTCAAATATTTCCAGTAAGATAATTATATTTCTGTGCTGCATGTTACTAAAAGCAGTCATCTGCAGAGACAAGTTTGAATGTAGTTTGTGTGTGGCATTGTTGCTTGTCTTTTTTCAAAGCAAAATAAGCTGGTTTTTATATTTAAAAAAAAAAAAAGTCTTCAAAACCCTAACTTTTTTGCAGTAGGCATTTGAAAACCGCAAGGAAATAATCCTTTAGGCCAGAGAATTGCTGCTTCTTTGTTTCATGAGATTCCATCCAAGTTGTGCTTCACAGATAGAGAAGCAATTCAGAATTACTCGTTTCTTCTTACTCTTGCATTTTTCAGGAAACTTTTGGCATCTAGCCAACATAGCAGGAGCACTCGAAGATCTGTCTTGCACTGCTGCCAAAGTAGCAGCAGCTGTGCATTTAGTTCTGGGAAAGTCTGAAAGCTACCAAATCCATTTCAATGAAAGGAATTGAGCAGAAGTAGTCAGTGCACATAACTTTTTTTTTTTTTTAAGAGGCATCCATTATTACAGTTTTTTCCAGCTTCTTCCCACACAATACCTACTATTTCTCCCTCATTCACTTATTTGGGTATAATATTCCCTTGTTAACTGATATAGTTACTCCAGTATATAAAGTGATATACTTTATCAGAGGTTGAGATTTCAAATCATAACGATAGCTCATTGGTGAAAAAAGTCTAGGTGTTTGAGTGTTGTTTTTTTTTAATTTTGAAATTAGAAAATTGCACTCAAAACCATTTATTGTTAGTACAATATTAATTTTTTTCCTTGTTTATGAACAGCCTTTTCTAAGCTAGATTGAGTTAAACTGAGAACCTTTCTTAAAAGAGCCCTCTCCCATTTAGGAGCCTGAGAAACTAGCTTAAAATAGGCTTTTGAATTCTAAGCATTTAAGTGGAATTAATTTCAGTTCATCTATAGGGTAATTTTTCTAGGACTGAGGAGCTGCATTCCTGAATATCAACCAGGAGTAGAAGGCATGCTTATTTTGTTAGGGTAATGGCAGCCAATGTCAAGATGTAATTGTTAGCACAGGCCAAGAACAGACTGATTGTTCATTCTACTCATACCTAAGTTATATGCACTATATTTGGACCTGGTTTTGAGCTGTTTACAAATGCAATATTGATGTTAAAAAAGGCCTTATTAAATGGACTAGTTTTTTAATGCAACATATGTATGGAAATTTTGGATTTTTTAGTCCTGTAGACATTTGTGCAGTGCCAACATACCTGGATGGTGTAGCAAATGCATACATAATTGTACTTAAATATACTTTTCTTCAGTCAAGATGATTTAAACAGGATGTATGGCTAAAATGCAGTAAACTTGTATTTCAGAGAGACTTACCTACAGAGTTTGGCAATGTAAGTCAAGAATGTACTTCTAGTAGGATTCCAGTTTCTCCTGGTGGGTATTAATGATTTTCTTTTTAATTAACATCATATGCTAAACACTTCTTGATGATCTTGACTAAAATCAGGGTTTTTATGTAGAGAATTGCAATTTAGTGACCTCTGAGTTTAAATGCATACTGCAAATTAGAAGTTAACCTGCTAGTTATTTCATGTTTGTAATTTATCCTTTAGAAGCTTTACTTTACTGAAATAGTTTTTAAAGCATTAATGAAAATATATAGCATAGTAATTAATAGTTACAAATAACTACTAAAAATCTCAAAGATGCAAATTTAATTAAGGTGCTATAGCTAAAGCTGTGAAAAACAATGTTATCTGCAATTTAAAAAGTTATGTTTTAAAAATAAGCTATTCATAAGCACAAAAGGAATTATATTTGTTGTTACAGGTTTGTTATAATCAAAATAGTATCACATTTACGATGTTTTTTACTTTTACAATGGTGCTCAGGACAAATCATGGCTTTTTCATTATAATCCATTTTGTTTTTCACATCACTGTTGAACTTCTATAGTTTCATCCCTTTTGAAGCAGTTAGCAGCTATCTGTATAGCATTTTTGCTAAGCTTTCTTATTTTGAAGAGCAAGATGAAAATCTTTTTCTTCCATTTCCAACTTAATTTTGATAACATACAAGTAGTAAATGAAACCTCCTTAAGTGGGAAAGAAATTAAAAACGTTCCCCAGGCCATAAGTAATTCTTCTGTCTTCATCAATGGTAGCTCTTTAGCCCTTACCTTGTATCGTTCTCTTTATTAATTTGGCCTGTTTCCCCTATGGCAGCTGTTATTCCTACCACCAGTAGTAAGGAGGATATTCTATTTCCTATTCTCACTTATTAGGCATTTTTGTCCAGTGTTGGGCTGTTGTATTGAAATTAAAAGCGAATCTCAGTAATCCAGTTTCCATGGAAATTAGGAAGGCAGTTTCTTGGTTATGTCAAAGTTTGTTTTAATTTTGAAGTCTCAGAAATGGGACCTTCTTTTTACAGACCTTAGAAAGCTTGCAACGTTTACTTCCTTTCATAAATTTAGTGGTATGTTACTGACACTTGAGGACTTCATAGTCAGCAAGCAGGCTGATGGTCTTTAAAAGAGAATTTTCATATTTTCAGACTTCTAGAATTCTTCTGAATTTGTTATTCCTGTTTTTCTAAAGTATGAGTCAGGAAATTTTAGGCATACAAGTTACGTGGCCAGTCTTAACTCTTCTATCTGAGATGTACACCACTCAGAATGCTTTGATGCTCTTTTTGGTTGTAGTGCTCTTCAGGAATCAGAGCTGTACAGAAGAAACAATTTTTAATTTTAATTGAGTAAAAATAATTTAATATGGTTTTATGTACAGAATAGTGTAGCTAAACATGTTCCAAAGGTGGCCTTACTAAAAATAAGGGTATGGGAACACTTTTTTTCTAAGTATTAAATTCTCTTCCCTGACAATAGTACTCTAAAATTGCAAAGAGTATCAAAGCCTTCCCAAAGTAAAAGAAAAGTCTGTTTCTGCTGAATGGATGCTAAACCTGTCCCAAAAGGAGGAGAATTAGGGAAACAGCAAGAGATTGACACAAATTTTAAGCTAAGCAAGAAGGTGATGATTTTGTTTATATTTCTGCTGCTTATAAGACAGGTTACTTAGCAGAAATTAAAGACATGTTTGAACAGGCAGTTTACAATAAAAATAATGTAAACTACTTGAAATTATTATTACATATTTGACCCAGTCTGTTATACATAGTATACTGTACTTACCTTGTTTTAAGAAAATGAGAAACCTATTTTGGACCCTCACCAGTAGCTTTTCTTTTTCCCTCTCTAAACAATGCATTCTATTCTGTTATTACATACTGTAAATCAAGCTATTTGATAGCTGACCTTGCAATAAGAGAGCAAAAAGGCAAAGGTGACACAAAAATGAGTATTTCTCCATAGGTACAGAGAGGAAGGAGGAGATGCCAGAGAGTCTTCATCAGTGGTCTGGATACAGTTCACTATTATCCACAGACCCATCACCCAAAGCCATGACCATTAATTCTCATGATTTGACAGATGTTTCAAAGGTAAGTAAAACTGGCAAATGCTTAGGTGATTTCCTTTCTGAGGTCAAGAGAACAAGTAAGCATTAGTTTTAGTTGTTTATACTACTAGTGAAAAACAAGGAAACTGCAAAACTACATCTAGGCCTGTCTCATAAAAATCCTTTTGATATGTAAACAGTGCTTAAAGTCACATTTTCTCTATGAATTTTTCAGGTTGAAAGTCCATCTGAAGAATGTTAGCTTTGAAGAGTTCACTAACTTTGTTGCTTTTAAATTGCAGGAGACAACAAGACAAAGAATGGAAAGGATAAGTAAAATGTAAGTAATAGGAGAGGGCAGCAGGAATTCATTTCCCAGGAGGGAGTCGTACTGGACTAAGGCATATAGAGAACGTACATATGTGTTCCAAACCTCAAAGGTCTCTACATCAGGTGTGGCATTTCCTTATGACTCCACTGGATAATAAATCCACTTACAGTTCTGTATTTGTGGGATGAGTCACTGTTTTGGTTTCTAAAAGGCAATAGAAAGCATTCTTAATAGTATTAACTAGAGATTAAAGAGTGTTTAGAATCTGGTTGACAAAGAATAGGGATATTATTTATCTTCTGATAGGAATTCCCTGGTACTTGCAACTTTTCTTCCCGAAAAAATAACTACAATAGCTTAACTCTGTTGTTTATTGTTTAAGGAAAGGTTAAACCAATTTCAGCCTAATCATTGTGATAACTGTATTAAAGTATATTTGATACTAGTCCTGCAATCTGTAATGAAAGTTTTTTATGTAAGAAATATTTTTATTACACTTGAAGAGAAATGCATTCCTGTGTAATGTTTCTTTAGCAAGAGATTTCTATTCTATAAGTACCTGGTCTGAAAAAAGCTGTAGTCTTTTTTGTGATTTAATTCTGTTGTGTGGGTTACTTGATATGGGGTTTTTTGATATGTGGTAGACGTTTAAAATGCAAACCAATTGCAGAGGAAAAGGGGGGATGAGAGGAAGCCTAAGGTTTCATGCTGCTTGTTAGTATTTTGGATTCATTAGAAAGTTAAAGGCAAGTCAGCTATTTCTTACTGTATTTTAGTAAGTGTGTGTGTGTAAAAAAAATTTATTTTCAGAATTGAAGAAACCTCAGAATTGTTGAAAACATCAAGCAACACCTCTGAGAAGACCTGAAAGCACAGGTTTTCAGACCTGGTCCCTGTAGACTTATGGATATCAGAACTAATATGTATGTTTGTACAGCGTTAAATTTTTAATATATCAAATTTGTTATGATCACCAGTCCTTTTATTCCTTTGAATAAATATTTTTCTCTAATGCATCTGTGTATTGATTTTCCTCCCCTTGGCCCCAATTTTTTGTTTTAAAAACTGTTCGAATAGCTTCTTCTCTGCCCCCCTCCCCTTGCTTTTGTAAAGTGAAGTCATTACAGCAGTGTATTTTTGTGTTGACATTTGTTAGCAGTGTGCTAAGTAATATGTGTTTTAAAGTGCAGGCTTGAGGACTGTGGTTTACATCCTGTTGGAAACATTCCAGCTGGGACTTGCATATTACACCCAAGAGGCTTTCTTACATACCATCTTACCATCTGTACTGTTGAATAAGTCTTAATGAAAACTTAAATACACAATTTCAAATATGTACCTTTTTTGCTGGTTTTTTTTTTTAATATAAATTTTCATGCTGAGCCAGAGAGCACCAACACATTATGGTTTCCATTAACACTGACAAAGTGAGGGTCAGTTTGATCCTAAACACTAAAATGTGCAACTAAGTCCACAGACTTGACTGCAAGAGATGTGTTGAGTGTTTTAGAGCTCTTACCCAACACATTTTAAGACCAGCAGCACAGATGGAGACCATCCAGTATACAAAGATACACAACTTTTTTATGATTTGAAGCTGTATTAAAATTTCTCTTCAGAGACGTAAGTAGATGTAAGACTTCCAAAACCATTATGTAATCAAACCAAAGATGTGTGAGGTTTGATAAGATTGATAGATTTATTTATTACTCTTTGTAAATTGGTAGCCTATGATATCAAGGTCTCTTTGTGCTATAATACTCACTTCACTTTAAAAGATTTTTGGAGTTTGATATCGCGAAACCAGTGGATTTTTTTTGGCAGAGTTTGCAAATGAAGGTGAAAGCAGCTGTTTGACATTATGCTGTTAAAAGTGATTTATATGTTTTAACAATAATTATGATTTTTTTCTATAACCATATGGAATATAAGTTGACTTTATTTTACATGCAAACAGAAGAACATACAGTGATCCGTTATGTTATATAAACTTTAGCTGGGCTAAACTGGACTTTTGCAATAGAACTTACTTTTCCAGTTGTTTCAAAAAAAAAAAAATTAAAAAATCTGAAAAGTTAGATGACCTGAACATGTTTTGCTTCTTAAGTGAAAATAGATCTTGCAAATCACTGTTCATTATCCTAACAATGAAATGAGTTTTTCTTCTAAACATTAGACCAATTCAACAGAAAATAGGTGATATTTTCTAAAATGAGACTACAGCACCATCTTGTGGAAATCTTTACACAAAGTAATTACAAAAGGAGGAAAAAGGTATATTCCTATAGTTAAAGTTATGGCTTTAAACCTATAATGATAATATTTTGAAGTATTACCTTTCTTGAATTTTTCCTCAGTGCCTTGGAATCAGAGGCTTTTATGTTAAGTAAGATAATTATTCTGTATAATATTGATAGTGTTTGTGGCAAGAACCAGAATAATGAATCTGTTGTTTGTTCATGTTATGACAAAGATGAGAAGTGTTAGTCAATACAAATGATTCAAGTTACAGGGATTTATCATTGAATGCATCTGATTGATGCAGGAAGTGTTAAAAAAGGTCTTTCTGTAACTGTGCAATTTAATATCATCTCTATTTAGTATTGCAAAATTGAAAGTCCAGAGTTGTTCAGCTATTTCCTTTTTCCAGAAGCTTAAATGCAGTACTTTGCACAATGGGATTTAGCCTTTGTAATTAAAGACTTTGCTTCTCCTGTTTTTCAGGACCAAGCAGGGGCTCACTTTGATCAAACTGAAGCCAAGGGTGTTTCACTGTTAGGGCAGCGGAGCTGGTTTTCTAAAGGTCTTTCTTTGACATTTGTGTTCTTTTTTTAAATGAAACTTGGTTTTGGAGGATAGTACCATGTTCTGAAAGGGAAATATTCATAGTGCATTCAAACCCTCTTTACATGTTTGATTTGGGTTTTTTTATTTTATTCTGTTCTATCAGTGGAAACAGTTAGTACTAGTAATGGTATATGTCACAGTAAAACTTCACCAAAGCAGTGCAATGCTAGGAAATACATGTAATGACTGAAAATAGCAACAGTTTTTGAATAATTACTGATGCAGTTCTTCGAGCACTGTCACGACAGTCAGAGTTGACATTCTACATGTGCAAACAGTTGCATGGGTGGATCTTGCTGAGTGACAGGAAATGTTAGATACTTTCCTAAACATATATTAAATAAATCCAGAGAATATTCCTCACTATAGTTTCCATCATGCCTAGCTCTCTCCAGTGACTTGGAAAAAATTGCTGTTGTTCAAGATATGTGTTCTGTGATTATAAATCATTAATTTAACTACTGCTGTTTCTTAAAGTTACTGAATGTAATTATTAGTTTAAGAATATATATTATTAATTTTATACTTAAGAATTGTTTTGACAGCTCTGTTTTCTTAAACATCAATAGAACAATTCCACCTTATATAACTGAAAGTATTTATGCATATGTGGGATAATGAAGCATAATTGCATTAAAGTAGAATGCTAAAACTGAAGCTTCTGCAAAAAAATATACTTTTAAACTTAATTTTTTTAGCAAGATTCTAAATCTATTAAAATTTACAGGATTTCCATTAAGATTTTTTTTTTGTTTTTACTCTGCCTTATCTAACATCAGTATGCACTTTAATTCATTTATTGAAATGAAAACATGCTATAGAAAACATAAGAATCCTCTCACCCCAAATCTGTAATATTGAAAAGCAGTCTGATAACCTCTTTTAGTTATATTTTCAGATTGTGTATATACTGCTACATGTTGTGGAATTCTAGTGCTCCGAGTCATAAATACTAAGAAAATTATTGCAGTTATGACACTAGAATATATTCTTTATTATGTTACTGTTGATGCTTCAGATCTGATACTTAAATTGTATTGTAGATCACTCAAGTTTGGTTGTACCTAAGTACGAGACAGCCTCTGTTCGGTTATATCCTGGTGTTTATGCCTAACTTGGAATTGTTTTGCATCATCAGAAGTGTATTCAAAGCCTTAATTACTACGTGTGTCCTTTTTCCTTATACGTATATCCAATTTTCTTATGCTTATTCTTGGGAGTTCTTTTATGTGTTTCTGTCATGGTTTATTCTTGTATCCCATGTCAGGCTCAATTCAATTTCTAGTCCAACAGTAAACAGGGTGCAGAAGAAACCTGGACTGAAAATGTTTGTTAAAGTTTTACTTTCTTTTAAATTTGCCTGATACAGAATGCTTGCTGTCTTGAAATCAGTTCCATTAAGGAGAAAATCTCTCATGGAATTTGCAGAACTGCAATCTAGACTCTGTGGGGAAGGAGGTTTCTTGTTTTTCCTTCCCTGTCAGTCTAGTGATTAATAGAGCTACCTCGTTTGAATTCTAATATAAAAATAATTTTGTTGCTCTTTTTTTTCTTGTAGTGTGGCCTATTTATTATAGTGTTTTTAAGAAATATTCCAATGTGAAAAATATTGCATATATATTAAATTTTTTTTTTTTTTTTGCTTAAGCTGCTGATAGCGTGTAGTGTTGTGACTTCAATTTAGCTATTCCTGATAAAAGTGGCAGTTTTCTTCTTTCCCCATGGAAGATGGGTGATAGTTCTTTCAAATAAGCTGTTCTTTTTAATTTCTTAAACAAGAGTATGTGTTGAGTTGTGGGGATAGCTGTCTAGTGCCCATATGGCTTCACAGCAAATTTTATGTGTTGCTAAAGTTGCTATTACAGCCTCTGATAGAACCAGCCTATAAGCCTATTGCTCATACTAAACCCAATTTTTTTTCTAATGGTTATTTTGTTCCTTTTTTTTTTTTCATTTTTTCCCCTCCTTTGCTCATAGATCAAACACAAAAATCAATTTTATCTATTTTTATTTTATTATAGTAATGAAAAGCTAAAATCAAGGATATGGACATACTGAAGTTTGAGAAGTACATTCTTTTAAAGGTTAGTTTTTCTGGAGAAAGAGAGAAGTAAGATAATCAAAATGTGTGAGAAGCTACTAATATTTGTGGAATTTACTTTTTCTTAGAGATGCTTAAAATTCTTTACTAATCATCAGTGAACGGGGTTAAAACAGCTTTTTCTCTCAGCTGCTTGTTTTGACATTGGAAGTTAGCCATCATTTTGAACAGTCGCAGTTGTAATATATTCCACTGTAAAATTATTTATTTGGCATTACAGTTATCTTTCCAAACACTTTGTGCCACCTATAGTTTCTTCTCAGTTTCTTTCTAGGATCTTTTTTTAACTCTGGTGAAAATCCTAAGTAGTTCACTTACAATCCTCAGACAGCAAAATATGCTTCTTCAGGAAAGGTATTAAATCGGCAAAAATTGTTTAAAGATAGTATATTGCTTCTGTTGTATCTAGGCAGATTTCTCTGTGATGGAGGTCTGTGTTGTGTTCTTAGTAGGATACTTCGGTTGATGCAGTCTGTCAGCTATGTCAGACAAGCAATCAATACAAGGGTACAAGTTAAAACACTTGTGACTTGAGTGTTCCATATGGGGAAAAGTCATACTAAAACTGTGATACTCCTTCCTTTGAGCATCCTACAGCTTATTTCATGGGGTGTAGTAAACTTAGTAGCTCTGTTTATGCAATGTGGCCTTATCTAAGAGAGAAAGATGCTGTATCTATGGTTACGAAACTCGTCCTCTTTAGACTCTATCCAGAGCAGATGCTTGATTTGGAAGTAGTGAGGCTTTTTACTATCTGGGAGAAAACTGCTCTAATTATAGGTTAACAACAATAAGCAGTAGTATGGAGCACTGATGTTCTAATACAGCGATGTGTGTTGGTTTTCCCTTCCACTTTACCTTTCCAGTTATTGTAAAGGAAGATTCATATGCCATAAAGCAAAATAACTTTTGATGATAGGCTCTGAAATCAGCAGAACTATAATTTTGCCAGTGTTAGGTTTATAATGATTAATGTTTATCATAAGCTATACCAAAGAATGTTATGCCTTAGGGTATTTTAATCAAAGACACAATTATATTTCTA